GATATCTAGGGCAGTTCACTCCTTACACAGACCCCTCGGCTCCCCAGACAGAGGCAGGGCTGGTGAAGTGGTCCCTTTCTCACTCTGACCTCAGAGCCTGGCCATTATAGAAGTCTTGGAGTCCCAGGAGGGGACAGTGGTACTTACTGGGCACCTTCTTTGGGTGCTTTACAGTGCTCCCAGACTCCTACTACCTCTGACAGCTAGGTCTTAATATTCCCATTGAACAGCTCAGGAAACTGAGACTTGGAGAGGTCAAAAAAATTTGAACTGCTCAGTCCAACAGCCTTTCTTTTTTTTTTTTTTTTTTAAAGATTTTATTTATTTATCTGAGAGAGAGAATGGGAGACAGAGAGCATGAGAGGGGAAGGATCAGAGGGAGAAGCAGACTCCCCGCTGAGCAGGGAGCCCAATGCGGGACTCGATCCTGGGACTCCAGGATCATGACCTGAGCCGAAGGCAGTCGCTTAACCAACTGAGCCACCCAGGCGCCCTCCAACAGCCCTTCTGACCTTAACCTTTCCTCCCACCAAATGCAGAGGTTGTTGGAACTCCAGGGATGATGGGGAGCTCACACCAGCAAAGATCCCATCTTGGGCATACCTGAAAGAACATTCTTCTCAGTGTGAGCCGAAACTGGCCCCCTGAAGCTCCCACCAGAGGCCCCAGTGGTCTGCTGCATAGGGAACCAGGCCCTCTATCCCTGAGGCAGGCTTTGGAAATTGAATGTAGCAGAACACCACCAATTAACCAGCATGCCTCCCTTGGACAAGGGCTCCTCTCTGAGCCTCACTTTCCCAAGCTGTACAATGGGGATAACAACAGCCCCTGTGTGAGGGGTAGTTGTGAGGCTTCAGGGGGTTAACAGGGCTGGGAATTTTCCAGGAGCAACCAGAGTCTCATCCAGAGTCTTCAGAGAAGCTCCAGCCAAGGAAAGAGGCTCAGGGGGCTTTCCAGAGGCCTGACTCACCTTCCCCAAAGGAAGGAGTGACCTTGATCAGGGCAGCCTCATGGTGGGGTGGGGGGGGGCAGGACTCAAATTTGGGGCCTGTCATGATTGGGGATTTCACCCGTACAATTGTTTTTGTTTGTTTGTTTGTTTGTTTTTAAGGAAGCTCTATGCCCAACATGGGGCTTGAACTCACAATCCCAAGATCAAGAGTTGCATGCTCTACTGACTGAATCGACCAGGCACCCCTCGCCTGTTCAATTCTGGCTCCCCCAGACCTGGCACGAGCTCACCTGCCTCACCCAAAGGATGCGGCTCAGTTTTGTTGAAGGACAGCAGAGCTTGGGATCAAGTAGATCTGGGTTCAAGTCCTTCATCTGCCATTTACCAGCTATTTGGTAACATACCTGCCGGTCACCTCTCTGCTCTGAGCCCTGGCTTCTCCAGCTCCAGGAGAGGGCCTGTCTCTCAGGGCTGCGGTGCTCAGCAGGGTGTGAGGTCAGAGCTGGCCATCCCCTTGAGTGCAGAGACAGGTGCATCCCAGGCCCCCACTGGGGACAACAGTCCACTCCCATCATTGTCGTCCCTGCCTCTCTGTTCGCTGAGGGAGGCACTGAAGAAATGCAGCCCGGAGACAGGCCCCATGTCTTTCCACATTCTGTTCCCCCTGCTGCCATTCTCTTCCAGGCAGACTTCTCTCTACCCTGGGTCCCTCCAGGCTTAATTAAGTCCCTCCCTCTCTGTGAAGTAGGACAGTGCTGCAGGAAAGGCATGTGGTCAGGAGTCTACCGATGGGAAACAGAGCCCAAGAGAGGAGAAGCAATGCGTCCAGGATCACACAGATGCAGAGGGACAACGGGGATTCCAACTCGGGCTCCCCCTAACACGTCTCCAAGCAGCACTTAAGACCTTCCGCAATCTGTCCCCTGCCGGCGAAGCTGTGCACTACATACCCGATACATTCCCGTCTTGGGAAACCCCAACTTGGAAAACCCACCAGGTTCTTGTTGACCTCGAAGGCCCCACCTGTTCTCCTGTGCCCTCCCAGCCCTGTCCTCAGCCCAGTGTACTGCCCACCTGTCCACCCAACCCCCCTTCCTCCAATTCCTCTTCCCCCTCTGGTCACCTCGTGTTATCACCTCCTTCAGGAAGCAACCTCAGACCATGGGACCCATTTCTCCTCTGAGCTCATTCCCCAACACCATCCCACTCCACCCACTTTGTGATTTCTTGCTTGGTGTCCGTCTCTCCAAATGAGGGCTCTGTGGATGCGTGGGATGGAGTGTGGGGGGGTGGTTCTTGTTCACATGTGTCGTCTCAGCACCCAGCACAGAACCTGGCATGGACCAGGTGTTCAAGACTTGCTATTCCTGCATAGCATCCATCCATCTATCTTTTCATTCAGCAGATGCTTATGGAGAAGACAGGCAGAGCCCTGCTCTAGTGCAGTTAGTTTCCACTAATACATGTGTATATTGTAAAGGCAAGTGGGAATAAGCACTATGAGGAGCAACAGTGCAGGGAAAGGACAATAGAGTAGGAAAGGGATGGGGGAAGGTGGTTAAGGGAAAGTCTCTCCAAGCAGGTGACATTTGATCAGATCTCTGAAGCAAAGGAGAACGTGATATACACATCAAAGGAAAGAGTATACCAGGGAGAGGGAACAGCAAGTGCAAAGGTCCTGAGGTGGGAATGCACATGGTATGTTGGAGGAAATGCAAGGAGGTCAATGAGGGGTAGGGATGGCAGGAACTGAGGTTAGAGGGGGGTCAAGCAGGGGGACAGAGGCAGGACTCTGCTTTGACACTGACTTAGCCATTGCAGGGTTCTGGGCTGAGGAGTACAGAGTTTGACCCAAGTTCTACCAGGATCACTCTGGCTGCTGCACCGCGAACAGACACCAGGGACCAGGGAAAAGAAGGAGATCCACGAGGAGGCCACTACACTCATACGGTGGCAGGGGACATGGTCAAATTGCTGATATATTTTGAAAGCATAGCCAGTGGTATTTGCTGATGGATTGAATGAGGGAGGAGCGGGGGGGGGGGGGGGGGCGGAGAGGAGAGAAAGGGAGGGGAGGAGTCAACAATGTTCGCAAGGTTTGGTGCTTGAGCAAGTGCATGGAAAGTGGAGGTGGCGTTACCTGAGATGGGGAAGATGTGACAGTGGGGCAGGTTTCTGGGGGTGACCCCTGAGGCAGAGGGCTCAGCGGCCGTCCACACGGAGATGTGGCAGAGGGCATCAGCTGCATGGGCCTGTAGTTCAGGAGAGAAGTCCAAGCTGGGTGTGGGCACCCGTCATATGAGTCCCCATGTTTTGCACATAGTAGGTCCTTAGTACATGGCTGCTGACCTGGCCTGCAGGGCCTCGTGGGCAACACAAAACTGGCCACAGCCCCACTCCTGGCCTCTAGGGGAGGTAGACAAGGACCCTGGGACCCAGCACAGAGCCACACCCTGAGAGGGACACATGATGACACGGTGGGAGGGTAATCTAGGAAGCTTCTTGGATGGGGTAGTGGGAGAGTCTTGGCAGAGATGGGACAGGCATTGGAAGGCAGGTGCTCCAGCTTCAGGGGTGAGGTGGGAAACAGGTGGAGGAAGGCTCAGCAGAGCCAGGGGGGCTGGGGTGAAGTGGACGGGTGTAGGAGCCCAACCCCTGGCTCCAATTTGGGCTCTGTGACCTTGGACAAAGATCCTTGACATTTTTTTTTTGTCTCTAAAATAGGAATAATAACCATACCCCCTGCATACATTGGTGTGAAGATCAAACAAGTTAATCCATGGAAAGTGCCCCCAAAGAAAGCAGTGGCAGGTGCTCAAAAAATATGACCTACCCATTAGTAGCTCGTCCAAAGAAGGCAGTGTCCTCCAGCCTGGGAGGCCCGCTGAACGAAGGCAGAGGACCATGCATGAGACCCAAGTATGAGGTACCTGGGGCTCAGATGAGGAGGGGAACTTTATTGCCTTCAGGCAATGGGGACCCATGGAAAGTTCTGTGCAGAGCGATGAGGAATGTTCCATTCAGTTCTTGATTATCCCCTACCTGTGCTCAGCTTGACACATCCCCTCCCATTCCAGGCCCAACAGTCCTACCGGGTCAACCTACCTGCAGGGCTCAGGGGCACATCTCATAAAAACAGCTGAGGCTTGATGATCCGTTTACTATGTCAGTCCTCACAATGGCCCCATGCATGAGGTTGGCCTTATTATCATAATGCAGATAGTAGCTGGCCGAACCAGGATGTAAAGACTAGAATCTACACTGGCTTCCCTTGGCTCCAAGGCTGTCCCCGGAGCCCTACAAAGGGGCCGGGCATCAGGGGAGTGTCCAGACCTATGGATTCTCCCAGCACATAGGGTGGGGTCCTTGTGCCAGTTCACGGTGGGGCAGAGACTATGAGGTGACGTGACTTGCCCAAGGCCCCACAGCTTGTGGGAGCTGGGACTCCAATCCAGATCGGTGAGACTCCAAATGCCCACACCGGAGGCGTGGCGGGCATCACACACCCAACCCTGAGCTTCCTTTAACCTGGGCCTGCAGCAGGGGTGAGCTCCCTCAGTCTGGAGCTATTTCTGAGCTCTGAGGCGTGGCGGGGCAGGGAAGACAGTGGATCCCCTGACTCCCACGCTGCCCCTTAACTGTCTGCTCCCCTCTTGACTTTGTCCTTTCAAAGAGGTTTTTCATCCCCAAAACCGCCCTGGCTCCCTGTTCCTGGCTCTGCCCTGCCAAAGGGACACTGAAAAGCAGGCTTAACTGCATCCTCTTTACAGTTTCCCAGCCAGAAAAACCAACAGAGGGAAATACAGTGTTTGCAGACCAGGTCAGGTCCAAGGTCACTCTATAAAAATGGATTCCTGGAAAAACATAAACCAGCAATTTACCCCATGAATTTTATTGGCCTCAAAACCAAAAAAACAAAACAAAACAAAAAAACACCCAAACAAACAAAAAAAACTACCCCATTTGAATAATGAAGGGAGATAAACCATTCCCAGTTCCTCTTTTATTAGTGAATAAGGACACACAAAAACTCAACCGAAAGCGAACATGCAGCATCAGGTCTGATTTATTAGACGCTTTCAGTTCACAAAAACCAGCATTTCTATTAAAATAGGATGATATCCAAAAGATCTGTTAGCTTAAAAAAAAAAAACTGTCTTTAATACAGGACAAGGCTTAGTTTTATTTTTTGTTTTTTTTTAAACAAAGCTCACATTCTCCTGACTTCACGCCTGTTACTACAGCCAGAGGGAAACTGATTTCAGAATCCATCTGATATGTCGGATTTCTTTGTGGCATCTACTTCATCGCTCAGCAGCCAGCCATGATGTCATAAGCCCATCAGATTTCCGGTAGGGGGGAAACGCTGGGGAATTGGAAAGAATGGATGTTTCTTACCCGTCAGGAAAGGGGGAGGGGGGGAAGGGGCTGGGTGTGTTTGGGAGGTGGGGAGACGGGAGGCAGGCTCAGTGTTTGTGATATTTAATGTCAGGCAGAAACCTGAAAAATCCAGCCACCCAGATGTTTTCTAAATATCCAGATGTCTGGCACTGAGCAGACCACGCTCCCCCCCCCCCACCTCCCATCCCAAGAGGCACCCGACGTTTCAGCTTTGACCTCAGGTTTACAGCGAGGGCATGCTGCCAGGAGCCCTACATCCTCAAGGCTGCCCACCCTCGGGGTTGGGAATTTTTTTCTAAATCTTTACACATGGATGACAGGAGTAACTAGGTCCAGATTTTTAAAAGCTGTTGAAGCAGTGATTTGAAAAGTTCAGTCCCTGGAATTAGCTTCCACAGAATACACTGTATAAGCCAAAAGGGAGGAAAGAGATCCCCTAGCCAACACTCACACAAACATATGTGACTCTTAAGCCATAGGGCGTAAAAACCCAAAACAAAACCAGTGAGTCTGAGAATCGAGGACTCCAGACTGACACCGAGAAGCGATGAGCCCTCCCCCAGGAGCACGCTTCCCCCAAATCAGAAGAACACCAAACAGCTTTGTTCTTCCTGACAAAGCCCCTCGCTTCCAAGGAACAGACAGTACCAACAAAAGCACAGGGTAGAACTAATTTACACTGAGGCTTGGGGCTTCAGGGAGTCACAAAGTACAGAAATGGCTTTGCCGGGGAAGCTGCCTCTCTACAGCCAGCAATGCGGACCCCCTGGCCTGGGGGAGTCCCACAGGCCACAGACAGAGTGGCGTTCAGGCTTCCAGGCACACACGCCCACTGAGGCCACCACCGAGGCCTGTGACATCACGGCTAATTGCTCCTGAAAATGAGCCAAGAACTGCAGGCCCCTGGGGCCCAAACCCTGCGGCTTTGGCTTCGTAGGGAGCCAGGAGGAGAAGCAGCCGGGAGGGGGGCCATCTCCAATTAGAACCGAGCGCTTGGATAATGAAAAAGAGGGTGGCCAAGGGGAGGGTGTCTGGCAGAGGGCTGGAGGAGGTGAGTGGGGGCTCAGGGATGGAGCGGGGGAGGGGGGGCTCTGTGGCCTCATCTCCTAGAACAACCTCTATGCTTTTCAGATGGGGAAATTGAGGGCCAGGAGTGGCTGAGTGGCCCGCCCAAGGTCACCAGGCTAATTAGCGGGACAGCCTGTACCGGGGAACAGAAAACACAGGCCTGGCATTGCACAGCTCTTCCCTGAACGTTATCTAATTTAATCCTCACAACACCCTGTGAGGGAAGGATTATCATTAACCTCAGTTACCAGAGGAGCCAATGGAGGCGCAGAGAGGTTAAGTAATTTGCCCAAGGTCACACAGCTTGTCATTAGCAGAACTCGGCCTGAACCTCTGAGTTTCACCAACTCCAAATACAGTGCTCTTTCTGCTAGGTGGGGGAGGGGGGGGGAGGCGGTTAAGGTTTAACTGGGAGCAGTGAATCTGATTTAAATACATATTTAAAATGCTGGTGATCCCCACAGAACAGAAGGACGTAAATCATTGCAAATTAATTTTTTAAAGCAATTCCAGTCCGGAGGGCTGGCTGGCTGGGTGGGTGGGGAGGCCGCTTTTCTTCGGTCCCTGCCAGAGCCTGAATAAAGCATGCAGACATTCTCTCTAGCCGTGCATGGAGGCAACTCCCTGAAGTGGAGGGGGGGGCGGCTAAAAGCTTTGTTGGGCATCTGTGAGAGCATAATCTGCCACAGGAAAGGTGCCAGGCACACAGGTCTGACAGAGCCAGGGGAGGGAGAAATTCACTAAGTGTGGAAACTACGAAAAATAAGAAGAGTCGATCCTTGGAAGCCTGAGTCCTACTTTCCAGCCAGGAGTTTCAGTGAACGGTGGGGAACCCGGGCAGCTATCTGTGGCCCAGAGGCCTGACTCTGGGTCAGACAGGTGCCGCCCCGGGTCCCGTCCCCTCCAGATTGGGGGAGGAGCGGGGGAGGCCATGCAGTTACTATGGCCCTGTGCCCTGGCCATCCTGGGGACCCTGCTGGCCACCACCTTCTCCAGAGTAGCATTTGAAGGAAACCAAGCCTCCCAGAGCTGGGACAGCGGTTGGACTGGGGACTGGGTTGGTCTGAGCCCAGAGAACAGGACAGGCACCTGTCCTCAGGCCTCCCCCTCTGCAGGTCCCTTCCCTTCCACTGGAACAGCCTTGGAGCTTCAGTGGGCCATCTGTGCCAGGCCTCTCCTTGCTCTCTTCCTCACTAGGCCTGCTGGTTTCTTTTACTTTATTTCAGTGAACTGCAAATGGGGTGTGGAGCCCAGGACTCAGTCCAGGGAAGGAGAGAGAAAAGTTTCTGCCATCTGAATGCCCGACCTGGCTGAGCAGTTTGTGTTTTTCTGGGGAAATTCTACCCATCCTTTATTCGATTTGTCTACTATCTACCCAAAAGAGATTCGGGTCCTGCCTTCATGACGCATTTGATGGAGGGAAACAAACATTAACCCAATAATGACACAAAAATGTCCATGGAAGGAATGGTCCCAGACAATGATAGCCTGTCAACAGGGGAAGTGTCAGGTCAGTGAGGTCAGGGAAGGCTTCCTGGAGGAGGTGATTGGGGCCCAAAGTTTGAGGAGCCATGAATCCCTCTGACAGTGAGTCGAGTGTCGCAGACCCTGCGACAGCAGCTTAGTGAGCGGGATGGTGCCGCGATTTCTCCCGGTGCCCCTGCGCCCCACGAAGCCCCACGAAGCCTTTCCTCACCCAAGCTTGCTTCCCATTCCCATGCCCCATTCCCTTCTGGACTATTATTCATCATCTGTGTCCCTGCACTGGTGTGGAAGTCCCAGACTAGGTCTGCCTTGTTCACCACTGAGTTGCTTGTGCCTGGGATGTTTGATGACTACTTTTTGATCAAAAAAATACACATGTGCAAAGGACCTGTGGTGCAGTAATCAGAGAGCCCAGGAGGGTGTAGGAGTAAGAATGGGGGCAAAAGTCAGCCAGCAGTGATGGGACTGGGCCACTCCAAGAGCCTCCCTGGATGTGCAGCTATCTCTTCCCTCCTCTGGGCTCCCTTAAGCCTTCCCCCTGTGGCAGAAACTGGGTTTGGGGGTCTTCCTTCTCCTACAGGAGACTGTCACACAGGTACTCCCTCCCACTTGATCTGCCCCAGGCACAGCACCCCTGGGGATCAGGTAGGCGGGGACTAGCATCACCTGCCCAATAGGCTTCCTCCCCACCAGTGCCTTCCCTCCTCCATTCATTCCCTCACCTGGTGCTGAAGGGTCCCCCAAAGCCACAGCGGGAGGCAGATCCAGGAGTCCCAACCCCACCCCCAAGTCCCATCTGCACCCCCCCCCCACTACCACGCCTTTCTCCTCACTGAGGCGGAAGTGACAGGAGAGAAGGAGCTCGGCTCCGAGCCCGGACCAGACCGGGTTTGAGTCCCCTCAGCGCGTGTCGTGTCGGTAAGCTGGCCTCTGCCCCTCAGATTCCTCCCAGGTGAACTGGAGAGACCCCGGGCTCCAGCGGGCACAGCGCGGGCGCTTTGGGAACCTGTCTGAAAGGGCGAAGTCAGTCTCCTCTCGTTTCCCTCCCGCGCTCGGTTCAGCTACTCCCTCCCCCCGCCCCCTTCCCCACCCCGAGGCGGCAGCTGGGGCTGGGGCGCGGGGGTCCCGCACGGCGCCGGCGGGCGGCGAGCTGCGGACACTCTCCGGCCGCGCGCCCCGGGCCCGGCGCCGCGCCTCGGTCTGCGCCCGGCCCCCGGCGCGCCCGCCCCGCGCACTCCAGCAAACTTTCCGCGGCCGCCCCCCGCGCGCGTCTACACCGCCCGGCGGCCCTGCGGCGCTCCCCTGCCCCACGCGGCGCTGCAGGGTGCCTCGGTCAGAGTCCGCGTCTCCACGGTCTCACTGCCGCGAGTTACGCGGACTGCCTTGACTACCTCGGGATTTCGCAGGCGCCTCAGCCGGACTGACTGCGCTCGTCTACACCGCCACGGCAGCCCCCGGGTCACTGAAGACTCCTCGGCTCCGGGGCCGCGCGTCCACGTCGCCTCCGAGATGCCCCAGCTCCCGGACCGCGTCTACACCGCTCAAGGCTCACGAGGCTCAGAGCGCGACCCAGGACGCAGACCCTGCGACAGCCGCTTAGTGAGCGGGATGGTGCCGCGATTTCTCCCGGTGCCCCCGCGCCCCACGAAGCCGGCCGGGGGTTGCTTACCTTGCCCGCGCCCTCACGCTCCTGTCCTGGCGGTGCGGTCCCTTTCATACATTTTGCACTATTGTCGACAGCGAAAGAAAATATTATAAATCCTCTCCCGGTCACGTGGCTGTCCCCCAACCTCCCCGCTTTCCTCTCTTTTCGGCCTTTGAGACAATACTCGGCCCCAGCCGCCGGCCGCCGGCCAGGGCGCTCCAGGCAGGCGCTGCTGGCCGCGGCGGGGCGGGGCCTGGGCGGACGGGGGCGGGGCCTGGGCGGGGCGGGGCGGGGCGGGGCGGGGCGCGCGGGCTCCAGCAGGCCTCCCGCGGGAAGCCCGGGCCCTGCTACAAGCGCTCCTGTACCAGCTCTGATTGGTCGGCCGGCCGGCGACGCTGAGGCCTGATTGGCTGAGATGAAGAAGCGGCTCAGGCAGTGGGGTGGGGGTTGCGGGTTTCATTCTTTGCCTTTTCTTTCCTGGGGCCGCGGCTGCTCTTTTGGGCCCTCCTGAGATCCGCAGCCTTTTCATCGCTGCTTCCGTGCACCCCATCATAACAACCACCCGAGTATAACTGCAATTCTTTGCCCTTGGCGACCAAATAGGTAGTACCCTGAGGTCGGGAAACTGGGTTTGTGGTGCTCACCCGTGTATCCCCCAGGGCCTGGAACACAGATGTGCTCAAAATGTTGTTGATTGAATTAATGGGAAATGCGCATACAGGTTTTTGGAGCTATCTTTAAGGCTGGTAACATCCCTAGAAAATGGTATTATTATTCTCTTTCAAGAATGGGGAGACTGGGGCGCCTGGGTGGCTCAGTTGGTTAAGCGACTGCCTTCGGCTCAGGTCATGATCCTGGAGTCCTGGGATCGAGTCCCGCATCGGGCTCCCTGCTCGGCAGGGAGTCTGCTTCTCCCTCTGACCCTCCCCCCTCTCATGCTCTCTCTCTCATTCTCTCTCTCAAATAAATAAATAAAATCTTTAAAAAAAAAAAAAAAGAATGGGGAGACTGACGTGTAGAGAAATGCTGTCACCTGGGGAGTGATGGCTGAGCTGATACTGGGACATGCTTACATCACTGGACCTCAGATCTCTACACAGCGATGCACTGCGGAGTGTCAGGGCCTCAGTTTACCATCTGTCAAAAGATTAGATTGATCAGAGGAGAAAGTGGTTTGGAAGGTTATTTCAGTGACTATGCTGTAGGTAGCACTGTGCTTGGCAGTGTGAATGAGACATCTCTAGCCTTCATGTTAAATTCTGGGTCCTCTCCTTTCCTGGCACCCCTTCCCCCACAAATCACAGGGGACGTTAAAAGCACTCTGGTCAAACCAGGCTATCTTACCCATCTCTGAGGGTTTGGGGGCATGTGGGAGGATTTTTCTGGGGGGAGCCACAGGGAAACTAACTTGAGCAGGCATGCTATTCTAGGGGGAGGGGAGTCCTTGGGAAACCCCACTCCATCCCAAACTGGTCCTTTTTTTTTTTTTTTTTAAAGTAGGCTCCATGCCCAGCATGGAGCCCAACTGTGGGGCTTGAACTCATGACCCTGAGATCAAGACCTGAGCTGAGATCAAGAGTCAGACATTTAACTGACTGAGCCACCCAGGTGCTCCCCCCCACCCCAGGCTGGTCCTTTTGATTGAAGGGCAGTCTCTGAGATGGGATAGAGGAGAAGGTTTCCTCTGATAAAAAGAGGGTGTAGGAGCTGCTCCTGGAGTTGGGTGAGAGCATTAATTGACCAGAGAAATGCTACCTCAGATCCTGGATGGCCGGGTTCAGGCATGCAGAGGAGCTGGCTTGGAGGCACAGGGAGTTCTCCCTGTGTCTCCATCTTCACAGGCCCCCTTATAAGGACACCAGTCATTGGATTAGGGCCCACGCTAGTCCAGTATGACCTCATCTCAACTTCATTACATCCGCAAAGGCCCTATTTCCAAATCAGGTTACATTCACAGGTTAGGATTTCAACATCTCGTTTTGGGGGACACAATTCAGCCTGCAACAAGGCTCAATGAAGAAAGAACATTCTGGTCAGAGGGGAACAGCAACAGCAGATTATCCTCCTAGTGCCCACTGCTTTCTGGGGTCTTATCTTCAGCTCCCCTCAGTTCCTGGTACCTGGCAGCTGCTGCTTCTGAGTTAGGAGAGAGCTGATCCTCTGATACGAGGCTTTCTCAAGCCTCTCTTTCCAGCAGAGCCCGGCCTGCCTGTCCCCCCTCTTCCTGCCTGCCTGGTCCCCACCCGCATCCACATCTCACATATGAGATGGACAAGGACAATAAAAGCTGTTTCGCAAGCGGGTGGTGATTAATCGCCAAGTTAATTAAAGAGGCAGTAATTACACTCAGATTTCAGAGGAAGGAGCGATGTCTTGGGCAGGGATGGGTGGTCAGCCTCGGTCTCCCTGAAGAGGTGGGGCTGGAAGACAGAAGGGATTTGAAAAGACAGGAAGAAAAAGCAAGTAACATTTTTAACAAGTGGGTACTTCAACCATAGCTGTAATGTTTTATTTGACAGAGTTAGGTGGCGGGCTCAGACGTTAAGCTCATCTCTGTACTTTTCTGTGTCTTTGAAATATTTCATTAACAATAACAACAACAACAAAAAAAGGCAGGGGGGGTTAAGTTTGGGATTTACAGACGGCCTCAAATACCAGTGTGTCCCACTTTACACAATGGAGAGGGCCTTAAAATTATGTGTAAATCGAATCCCGTTTGCCCACCCAGTACATCTTAACATCGGCAATGCTCGATCTTCATTTCTGATTGATTTTCCCTGGCAGAGGCGCAGAAATCTTTGCTTTAAGTGTCAGGCTCTCTCTGTCAAGTAGTTAATGACCTATAAAGCACTTAAAATGTACTGGAGGAGATGCTATTTGGAGGCACCCCGTGGTGTACCCTCTTCTATTGTCAGTAATCACCCCTCATTTATTTGCTCTTATTGGTTTAGAATTTGCTGTCGGGTTTCCCTAAAATGAAGCCCATCAGGAAAGATCCAATTCCATATGGGCCTAGATGGGTGCTGGGGTTGGTACCCTGAGGCAGCAGCAGCAGATGAGGGAAAGGGCCTTTCCGTAAGAGCCCTTGACCATGGGTGCACTGGTCACCTCTTGGCACACCTTCCCTGACTATCTCCGCAGCTATGGCCACCACAGCCTTCCCAGTTTCTGCTCACCATGTGTCTGCTGCCTCAACCTGTCCCCTGAGTCTGATCCATTCTTTTGGCTGCCTTTAGGACACCTCCTCCTGGTTGTTGCCCGGATTTCTCCCTACATTGGTGCTCCACTCCTGTACTTCTGGAAACTTCAGTTTCCTCCTCTGCCATGCCCCAGAGCCCGTGCCTACTCTTGGGCAACTGGAAGATGACACCAGCCTGGCAATGTCAGTGCTGGGAGTGAGAGAAGAGGTCCAAGGTTGGCGTAAACACAGAGCAGCGACAGAACCTCCAGGGTCGGAGCTGTGAGGAGCAACCACAAGGAGCACAGAGCAGGGAGGAGCCACTGACCAGGGGGCCTGGGAGGCTGAATAGGCCTTTCTTTCTTTCTTTCGTTCTTTTTTTAAAGATTTTATTTATTTATTTATTTGACAGAGAAAGAGATAGTAAGAGCAGGAACACAAGCAAGGGGAGTGGGAGAGGGAGAAGCAGGCTTCCCGCAGAGCAGGGAGCCCCATGCAGGGCTTGATCCCAGGAACCCGGGATCACGACCCGAGCCGAAGGCAGACGCCCAATGACTGAGCCACCCAGGTGCCCCTGAATAGGCCTTTCTAGAACGGAAAGCATATTAGTTTTCTATGGCTGCTATAACCCAGTTACCACAAACTCAGTGGCTTAAAACAGTGCACATTTATTCTCTAACAGTTCTGAAAGCCAGAAATGCAAAATCAGTTTCACCAGGCTGAAACCAAGGGGTTGGCAGGGCCACGCTCCTTCCAGATCTTTGAGGATAATCTGCCCGTCACCCTTTCCAGCTCTAGAGCTGCATTCCTTGGCTCATGGCCCCTTCCTCCATCCTCCTCCAAAGTTGACAGGGTAGTAACTTTAAATCTCTCTACTTCCATCCTCATATTGCTTTCTGCCCTCCATCTATAATCCCTCTTATAAGAACACCTGCGGGTTGTAAAAACCAGGATAATCTCCTCATTTTAAAATCCTTAATCACAGCCGCAGAGTCTTTGCCATATAAGGTGGCATTCATGGGTTCCAGGAATTAGCATGTGGACATCTCAGGGAGGCCCACTGCTCAGCCTGTGGCAGAAGGCAACTGAGCAAAGAGGTTCAGATCACGGGCTCTGGAGTCACTTCTGGGGCCTGAATCTCAGCCTTACCACTTGCTCCCTGTGTGGACTTGGGCAAGTTGCTACATCTCTCTGATACTCTTGTTTCCTCATCTATAAAATGGAAACAGTGCCTAGCTCCAGAAGAGAACGTAGTAAGCATGTAAGCACACAGTAGGCAGAGAGAAC